TCTTCCTATCCCAAAATTATTCCTTCCCCTTTCTATCCCCAAATGATTTTTCCCCTTCCTATCCCAAAACAATTCTCCTTCCTATCCCAAAACAATTCCTTCCCCTTCCTATCCCAAAACAATTCCTCCCCCCTTCCTATACCAAAATGATTCCTTCCCCTTCCTATCCCCAAATTATTTCTTCCTCCTTCCTATCCCAAAAAAATTCTCCCCTTTCCTATCCCCAAATGATTTCTCCCTCTTCCTGTCCCAAAACAATTCCTTCCCCTTCCTATCCCCAAATGATTTTTCCCCCTCCCTCTCCCAAAACAGTTCCTTCCCCTTCCAATCCCAAAATTATTTTTCCCCTTCCTATCCTAAAACAATTCCTCCCCTTTCCAATCCCAAAATTATTTCCTCCCCTTCCCATCCCTAAACGCTGCCTCATTTGTTTCGGTGGCTGCTCCCAGCCTCCTTGCAGTGCTCCAAGTGCCCTTCCCGTACCGGAGTGACCACAGTCGCACAGCCTATTCCAGCTGTGGTCTCCCGGGGGCCGGAATGAGCCGGGCTGATTGATATTCCGTGCCCCTGGATAAACACCTCCGGCCCGTGTTTGTGTTTGCGCAGCTGCCAAGGAGCCTCGCAGATGGCTTGGATGCCTTCTCCACATGCAAAGTGTCCCGTTCCTGCTGGAACAGGGATTGAGGCTGGGGGAAAGGGAAGGGAAAAGGGGGATGGGATAGGAGCAGGAAGGAGGGAATAACTGTCCATGCACCCTGAGCAGGGATGGCCCAAATCTGCTCCGGCTTTTGCCTCTCCTACCAAAGCAACCTCTGGGATTCTGGGATTCTGGGATTCTGGCTTGGCTCAGGTGGGGGAGCGAAGTCAGGGAGCGAAACGAGGGATGCATTTGGGACAGCCCCTTCCCAAAGTGTCCTGGAATTGGCCTTCCTGCCTCCCAGAGGGAAATCCTGCAGCAAGGACATCCAAGAGTGTTTTTTGCTTGTTCCCATCTTGGAATGACTTCAGCTTCCACACCCTGAGATTCCAACCTTTAACGGGAAAGGATTGATCCAAGAGATGTCCTGGTGAACAAGAACCAGTGGGATCTGGAGGGATCCCATGCTTCCCTTCAGGTCTCATTTCTTCAGGAATGACATCCAAGAGTGTTTTTGCTTTTTTTCTTGTTCCCATCTTGGAATGACTTCAGCTTCCAAGCCCTGAGATTCCAACCTTTAACGGGAAAGGATTGATCCAAGAGATGTCCTGGTGGACAAGAGCCAATGGGATCCTGGAGGGATCCCTTGTTTCCCTTCAGATCTCATTTCTTCAGGAATGACATCCATGAGAGTTTTTGTTTGTTCCCATCTTGGAATGACTGCAACTTCCGTGTGCTTCAAGGGGGAAGGATTGATCCAAGAGACATCCTGGTGGGCAAGAGCCAATGGGGTCCTGGAGGGATCCCTTGTTTCCCTTCAGGACTCATTTCTCCAGCACTGAAGTGGTCGGTGATGTCCTCAAATCACAAGGAATTCCAGTGCCATTCCCACCTTCTGTGTCCATATCCATGAGAAATGCAGCTCTGGATTCGGAAGAGGAGGCAAATCCCTGAGGGATAAACAGGATCGCCCCTTCAGCATTGCCTGGATGATGGATACACACCCAAAACACTCTGTGATGTGGGATATGTGTGAGATTTCCTTGTTTTCTTAACAGTTTATGAATTCCTTTGGACTTCCATAATCCTATTGTTCCTTCCAAGGAAAGAAATGTTTGACTTTTCCAGTCCAACGTCCTGAACTACGTGGATCGATCCAAACATCACAGTGGAAGCCTCGAACTCAATTTCACCAAAATTCCAAGAGGTTTTCAATTAGCTTTTCCAACTGGATCCTTTGGAATTCTCTGTGCTTTGGAATATTGTTACCAGTGTCTCAGGAGGGACTGATTTATCATCAGCAGGCCAAGCTTCCACAATTTTCTGCTTTCTTCTTGGAATTCAGCCTGGATCTCCTTGGAGAAAGGACCGGGAGAAAAGGAAAACAAAGGGAGAAGCCAAGTTGTTGATACTGTGAATGTTTTTATAAATTCGTGAAAAAAAAATGTTTGGAGGAGCTTTTTGGGCTAACAGACAGAAAGGAATGGCTTGTTTGGATTCCAGCACAATGGGAAATACAGGATTTTCCCTTCCTGTTTTATCAGAGGTTCATGGAGTGATTTGGGTTTGGGACGGGCCTTAAAGATTATCCCGTTCCACCCCATGGGCAGGGACAGCTCCCACTATCCCAGGGTGATCCAAGCCCTGTCCGACCCAGCCTTGGACACTTCCAGGGATCCAGGGGCAGCCACAAATTCTCTGGAAAGGCTGTTCCAATGTTCCACCATTATATAAAAAAATTATTAAAAATTCCAATTTTTATAATTAAAATTCATTATTAAAATTCATTATTAAAATTCATTATTAAAATTGAAATTGCCATTATAAAAACGTCTTCCTTGTAATTAGTGGGAATGAACCCTCCTGTGGTTTAAAGCCATTCCCCCTTGTGCTCCCAGGAGCTCTCCTTAGACGGGAGGACTGGAGGGATTTGGGATAGGAGAGGCGGATGGTGAGGCTCCTCTCCAGGACACAGAGGGGACAAACAGCTTCTGGCTGTGTTAAACCCCAGGAATGTGGATCCAACAATCCCAGAGTGTGGCTGCTCCTGATATCAGTCCATATTTCCATTTGAAAAGGGTTTTCCAAGAGTTTCAGTCACTGTAGGAGCTCCTCACATCATTCCAGGAGCTCCAGAGGCTCCTGGCTTGACCTGTGGATGCTCCTCACCAGGTTCCCCTACCTGCAATCCCTGTTCCCAACCCAAAGCCTCTCTCCTTCCCCCGTGGCTCCCAGGATTTTCAGGAAGCAGCTGTGTTATCCTGAATTTTAGGGAGGTGTGCAGGTGGCAGCTCCCAAATATCCACCCGCCCTTCCCTGAACTCACCATCCATCACTGGGGAATTCCAGAAAGAAAAACCATCACTGAGATGTTTTATCCCTCCTCCACATTTTCCTGGAATGGCTTTTCCAAGCGAGGAATGGGGGAAGAGAAGCCAGAGACGATGGAGAGGAGGGGGAAGAGATTTCTCTGGGGGGTTCAGGTCTTGGTAACAGCAACAGATCCCTCTGTTGGGAAGCTCAGACACTTCCCGAATTTTTGAGTCCCACTGGATTCTTATCAGGACTTAATACTCAGGATGACTCAGGAAAATTCTTTGATGACTCAGGATTAAATCATTTAAGGAATCATTTCCATGCAGAGGTCAAAATTTTAAATGCAACCATCATCTTTTTAACCATTTCTAGGGCAGCTCTTGGCTCCCCAAACTGTCCCCCCAAGGAGCAGCAGTCCAGAGGTGCCCCACCGCCGATCCCTTCAGCTTTTGGGGAGGATTTGGGGGGCTCAAAGTACCCAAAAATCAATGATTGTGTGGTTTGTTATCGGTTTTTCCAGCACAAGGAGGATGCACCCACCACAATATTTAGCACTTTCTTCTTTTCTGGCTGCCTATTTCGGTGGAATGAGAAATGAAACCTCTTAAAAGTGAAACTGCCCTTTGCAAATTGTGAAGATTTTGGAAAAGTGGGAGATTTTCCCTCTCAGAGCACATTTGGAGGACTGTTTTTCTCTTAGTTGTTTCTCCAGTGTGTTTCTTTTAATGTTTACTGAAAATTGATTTATTTCGTCATAAGAACTGACTTTATTTTAGGCAAGAGCACTTTGAGGGCTCCATTAAATCTTTATTTACTTTCTTGTCTGCAGAAAAGACGTCAAGGACATCAGCATTTTGTCCTGAGCCAAATTTTGTGGGGCCCTGTGTTGTTTTTTGGTTTTTTCCTTTGCCTTTTGTACCTTCCAGAGAACTGAGGAATAAATAAACTCTTTTTTTCCCAATGTAAATTATCCTGCAAATAATGAGCCAGAGGGAAGGGTTTTCCTAGTTTTCATGAATAGGAAATGTATTTTTCTTCTCCTAAGAAGCAGAGAAAGTGCGATAAATTATTTCCCTCTTTTTTTATCACGTGGATGTTGAGGAATTTTTGCTCCTGACCCACACTCCCAGTTGATGCTTTAGAAGAAAGGCTGCGATTTTTCTGGTCCTTTTCATCCACACTAAATTAGAGATAAGAAATCAGCTGCTAAACAAGGAGATTTTCAGTGTTTTTCCCATCCTAAACCCCACCAAACTGAATTGATCCGTGTCGGCTCTGAGCCTGGAGCAGCCAAAGGGCTTTGAAGCAATCCTGGTTTTCCTTTAATCTTGGGGAGTCATGTTGGTGAGGAAGGATGAATTCCTCCCTGGTGGGAAGCTTTGATATCCATGGACCATGCTGAGATCTTGGCCCTGTTTGGATTTCCACAACTTTGGAATTTTTTTGCAAGTTCCACAAGGAGTTTTTGGCAGATAAGAGCAGGTGGTTGTCACCATCAGATTTTCTGAAAAATCCCTTTGCCCGGGACTTTGCTCCTGGGAAGCTGAGAAGCCTCAGAGAAAAATGAAAACAATAATTATCTGACTGATGTATATTACATTAAAACTATACTAAAAGAATAGAAGAAAGGATTTCATCAGAAGGCTGGCTAAGAATACAATAGCAAAGAATGATAACAAAGGTTTGTGGCTCAGGCTCTGTGTCTAAACCGGCTGGGCTGTGATTGGCCATTAATTAGGAACAACCACATGAGCCCCACCACAGATGCACCTGTTGCATTCCACAGCAGCAGATAACCATTGGGTACATTTTGTTCCTGAGGCCTCTCAGCTTCTCAGGAGGGAAAATCCTAAGGAAAGGCTCTTTCATGAAAAGATGTCTGCGACACAGAGCCACACTTTGAGAAGGAACTGACAATATTCCTAGGACAGGTTTCCCAATGGAATGCCAGCACTGGTTCTTCACAGAGAGCCCCCGCAAGCCGGGGGGCCCCGGTGTCACCTCGGCAGGTGCAGTGACTCCTCTTTGTCCCCGCTCTCTCCCACAGATGGCTTCTGCCTTCCGGAGTGGGACGGCATCGTGTGCTGGCCCGAGGGCGTGCCCGGCAAGGTGGTGGCCATGCCCTGCCCCGAGTACATCTACGACTTCAACCACAAAGGTGGGTGTGGAGCAGCCCCCAGCACAGGAAATTCCCGACAGCCAGGAAATTCCAAACTCCCCTCCCACTGTGCATTGGGGGTTATCCCATCCCAGCAGGCATTTTGTCACAAGCACGCTGATATCAGCTATTTCACTGAGCATAATTAACAACAGAAATAAAAGTTATATCTTTATAACAAAGTTCCTTTAACACCACACATGTAAAATCCATTTCAGTATTTGTGAAAAGCCAATATTATGATATACGGAGCATATAACAGGCTCCACCTGGGGATGAATTTCCTGCCATTTTCCCTCCGATTCCACAACTCCTCTCTCTCTCTCAGCAGGGATGAATTTGGGATGAATTTGGGATGAATTTCCTGCCATTCCCCCTCTGATTCCATGTCTCCTCTCTCCCTTGGCAGGGATGAATTTGGGGTAAATTTGGGATGAATTTCCTGCCATTCCCCCTCTGATTCCATGTCTCCTCTCTCTCTAGGCAGGGATGAATTTGGGATGAATTTGGGTGAATTTGGGATGAATTTGGGATGAATTCCCTGCCGTTTTCCTGCTCATTCCATGTCTTCTCTCTCAGCAGGGATGAGTTTAGGATGAATTTCCTGCCATTTTCCCACTCATTCCATATCTCCTCTCTCTCTCGGCAGGAATGAATTTGGGATGAATTTGGGATGAATTTGGGGTGAATTTGGGGTGAATTTGGGATGAATTTCCTGCCTGGAGTTTTCCCGCTGACTCCATGTCTCCTGTCTCTTGGCAGGCCACGCTTATCGCCGGTGTGACCTGAACGGGAGCTGGGAGCTGGTCCCGGGCAACAACCGTACCTGGGCCAACTACAGCGAGTGCGCCAAGTTCCTCACCAACGAGACGAGGGAAAGGGTAGGCATTCCCATTCCTGCACACAGCAGGAATTCCTGGCCTCGTGCCGGGCCAGCCCGCGGACCTCTGTCTCATTTAAAACCCCGGATGAGCTCCAGCTCATCTTCCTCCTCTTGGAAACCCATCCTGAGCTTGCCAAAGCCACATTGTGCTTTGATGGGCAATGATTTGATTGGAAAATTGTCCTCAAAGGCAGAAAAGTTTCCTGCAGCTGCCATGATCCCATTCCTGAAGGGATCTTGGGGAAAATTGGAGCGGTCTCGGGAACGCTCAGAAGTGGTTGGAGGTTGTTCCATGGCATTGAGACTCCCTCTGCCACAGCAGGAAATCCTTTTGCTGCCAGGTTGTTATCAAAAATTCCAATGTTTATGTGGCTGTCTCTGGGAGGGGATGTCCAAACACATGTGGAATCAAACCCGGAGCAACTGGCTGGGAGAGCTGGGAGTGTCCAGGAGAGGAGAAGGCTCCAGGCAGAGCTCAGAGCCCCTGGCAGGGCCTGAAGAGGCTCCAGGAGAGCTGGAGAGGGACTGGGAACAAGGGATGGAGGGACAGGACCCAGGGAATGGCTTTGAGCTGAAGGAAGTAGATTTAGATGGGACATTGGGAAAGAATTCCTGGCTGAGGGGATGGAGAGGCCCTGACACAGGGTGCCCAGAGAAGCTGTGGCTGTCCCTGGATCCCTGGGAGTGTCCAAGGCCAGGTTGGAGCAGCCTGGGACAGTGGGAGGTGTCCCTGGCCATGGCAGGGAGTGGGAATGGGATGATCCTGAAGATCCCTTCCCACCCAAACCTAACTGGTATTCCATGATCTTGAATTAATTCTGATGTAGTCACAATTTGGAAACAATGACACAGCTCAAAGTTATAAAAGGGTTCAAAATATGGAGAGGGTCTGGTGTGCTCCTGGAAAAAAAAATTAATAAATCTGTGAGCCATAAATTTACAAAAATTCAGATAAGGACAAAATAGCAGCTGCCAGAAATTTCCTTCTTCCCCGTGAGCCAGCCTGGGGCTCTGTAATTCTGGAAGTCTGGAAGGAATTCCATCCTAAGGTGACAGCAAAGCTGTCCCTGGTGTCTCTTGGGAGGATGTGGCCTCCTTGTCCCACAGAGAATGATGTTCCCACCCACACGCACCTGTAATTCCCAAAGAATTTGCCCAAACCCTCTGGTTTTTCAGTGGTTCTTGGAAGAGTTCCCTTGGGTATGTGGCATGGCATCAGGGACTGATCAGCTGCAGGGAGGATTATCCCAGACAGATGGAGATAAGGATCTAACCACAGCTTCCTTGAGGATGATCCAGGGGCCCTTTGGGACAATGTTCCTAATTTTAAATTTAACCACAGAGTAGGGTTTTTTGGAGTTGGGGTTGTTTTTGTTTAGGTTTTTTGTTGTTGTTGTTGGTTTGGTTGGTTGTTTCTTTGGTTTTTTTTTTTGCTTGGGTTTTTTTGTTTGGTTTGTTGTTTTTGGGTTTTTTTTATTTGTTGTTGTTGTTATTGCTTTTTTCTCCTTAAGAGTGAAGCAACTCATGAATGAAGTGGTTTAGGAAAATAAGGAAATGAGGGAAAGGAGGAAATGAGTTCTTGGAGCTGCTGAGTGTTTTCTCTCGAGTGGACAAGGAGCAGAAGGTTGGTGCACTGGGTGCTGCTCCAGCCACTCCAGCAAAGGCCTGGATGACGCTCCCTTCCAGAACCAGTTTGGTGGGATTTTCCCAGTTCATAGTGGAAGGAACTCTTTTGGCCCCGGAGTTTTCTGGGAAGGTCCTGGAGCAGATGTTGGGGTCATGGAGCATCTTGATCAATGCACAAACTTTTGACTTCTCTGAAATCATCTCTCCCATCCCACACCCTGGGGTGGGAATTGTCCAGCTGGTTTCCAAGCTATCCCCCAGGGAAAGGAAATCCTTCCTTTTTAACCTCCCACTGGCAGGACTTGTCAGGGTGACTTGCTAAAGGAAGAGCACAAAGAACAACAGAGAGTTGCCCGTTTTTATTTATTTTTTTCACCACAAGGAAGAAATGGAGACTTTCCACCTCCAGGGTGATTTAAATGGCTGAAAGCAAAATCTCCTGTGGTGGGTTTGATGTGCCTGACTTTGTCTGTGTCCCCTGAGTGGTCACAGGGTGAGGAGTCTTTGCTTCTTTTTGCCAGGGTCGGGATTAAATGTGTGAGATGGAATTTCTTGTTGGGACTCAGATGTTTATCAGTTCTTATCTCTGTCACACTCTCACAAACCCTGAGTTCTGCAGCGCTTCACTCCAACAAACTAAAAATGGAGCCCCATCTCTCTCTCTGCAAGGCCTTTGAAGGATCAACTGTCCAATTAACAAATGACACTGAAATTATTTTCACTTTTAACCCAATAACCAACCACCCATGGCTGCAATGGGGACTTTTTATCCAATTACACAAAACCACCCAAACCCATGGAGGAGGAGGAGAAGGAGAAGAAGGAGCAGCCTCCACCCCAAAACCTCCATCTTGCTTTATATCCATTCCTGTATTCTAAACCCTTAAACTCTGAGTTTCCCACCCTGTGATATCACACACTTCTATCCAAACTCCACCCCCACAATCCCAGTTCTGTCATTCCATTTTGGAAGCTTCTCCATGGCCTCAGGTCAGTGCAGTGTTCTCTTGGGGGTCAGTGCCTGGCAGCACAGAAACTCCCAAATTCTCAGTTTCCAGAGTTCCAACAACAGGGGTGTCACAGCACGGGGGACTCGAGCTGTGCTTCGCAGCAGGGACATTTACAGGAGGTGTCACCTCGTTTTTATTCTCAACCTCTTGGAAAATTACTGCTCCTCATGAGCTCTCCCTTAAGGAGTAGTTTTACTAACCCATCCCAAAATCTCAGTCCTCATTATCCTGTAGCCAAAGCTGAGGCATCTTTTGCCAGGAACTTTCTGTCATAGCTACAAAGGCGAATGGAATAATATTTAATATTTAGACAAATTAAACCATCATCACTGTTCAGATTAAATGACCACGTTGGTCTTACTTGAAGTGGTGCTTACCTAGGGCAAAGAGAACATGGAAAAAAATTGATGTTTCTGCCAGCTTTGAAATCATATCTTGATCCAAAAAAATGCTTTTTAATGACACCTATTTATCAATTTTTATTCTTATTCTAATTATTAATTTTATATTTGCAAGAGGTTTCTTCCTCACCTCAGCGATTCTGTGCCTTGTCACAGAGTTCCCTGATTTTATCACAGAGGTGGCTGAATTTTTGTGACAATCCAATTATTGTGAATTATTGTGACATCCACTGCAGGTCTCTTGGGCCTTGGGCTATGAAAACCACCCTGGAAATAAAAGAGGAGGAAAAAAATGTTCTTTACCCCTCAGTATTCTGATGCCTTTAGTCATGGAGAGCACACAAGGCCTCTTGTCACATTTAAATGTGGCACTGTAGCCCTGAGATTAATAAACCTTCCTTTGATATTTCTTTTTCATGGGGTAGATTTTCAACATCATCTCTTTATTTTTATTATTATTAGTATTATTATTATTATTATTATTATTATTATTATTATTAGCCTTGTATTTGCAAGAGGTCTTGCCCTCAGCGATTCTGTGCCTTGTCATGAAATTCCCTGATTTTATCAGAGGTGGCTGAATTCTGGTGACAAATGAAGCACTATCTGTGCATCCTCTGCAGGTCTCTTGGGCCTTGGGGTAGGAAAACTATTCTGGAAATAAAAGAGGAGGAAAAAAATGTTCTTTTTCCCTCAGTGTGCTGATGCCTTTACTCACAGAGAGCACACAAGGCCTCTTGTCACACTTAAATGTGGCTCTGCAGCCCTTGGATATCTCTTTTTTTCATGGAGTAGATTTTCAACATCTCTTTATTAATTTTAATATTATTATTATTATTATTATTATTATTATTATTATTATTATTATTATTATTATTAGCCTTGTATTTGCAAGAGGTCTTTCCCTCAGTCCTGCCCTGCCCTCATAGCGATTCTGTGCCTTGTCATGAAATTCCTTGGATTTATCACAGAGGTGGCTGAATTCTGGTGACAAATTTAGCACTATCTGTGCATCGTCTGCAGGTCTCTTGGGCCTTGGGCTATGAAAACCACTCTGGAAATAAAAGAGAGGGGAAAAAATGCACTTCTTCCCTCAGTGCTCTGATGCCTTTACTCACAGAGAGCACACAAGGCCTCTTGTCACACTTAAATGTGGCACTGCAGCCCTGGGATTAATAAACCTTCCTTTGATATCTCTTTTTCATGGAGTAAATATGTCCAGAGATGTCAGAACAGGGGAATTTGGCCACATTGAGCCGTTGTCTTGAGCGAGAGATGGTTTTCTATTATTATTTCCCTCCCTGGGGAGCAGCATCTTTGCGTCACCACCAACAGCTGCATTTACCCAAGGTTTTGCCAGGAGATTGTGGCTGACTCCGAGCAGATGCAACCAGAGGGAATTTTAAGAAACTGGGCTTTTAGGGAAAAAAAAAAAAGAAAACCAACTGTCTGTGGCTATAAATATATGGATTTGCTGGCTATCTCTGGAAATATGCCTGAACCTATAGATAGCTGGAGATATCCACACCTAAATAAACACCACGTGCGTGCACACATCTCCAGCCAGGGATGTTTGTTTAGGTGGGGAGTTTTCCCATTTTAGCCATGCTGGGATAATTTTAAGATTGCCCAAAGCAGCAAACAGAGGGCCCCAGAGCAAGCTGGTGTCCTGCCCCGAATAAATGGGGATTGTTTCACACAGAGCAGCTCGGAAACCGCTCTCTGCAAAGAGCAAAGTGTGTTAAAGCCATCAGAGCCTGCAGAATTAACAGCTCGTAACTGCCCGGGGAGCAACTGCTCCTGGGCTGCTTCCTCAGGGAAAATTGCCACTGCAGGATGGGAACTGACAGCCCTGGAGGCCAAGTCCTCCTTTAGTCAGGTAGGATGAAGCAATCCAGGGAAGTGTTTCCTCAAATTCCTTCCAGATAATGTTAAAGAGGGAGGGAACGATCAGCTGGAAGTGTCCAAGGCCAGGTTGGATGGGGCTTGGAGCAGCCTGGGACAGTGAAAAGTGTCCCTTCCATGAGGGACAAGACCATCCCATCCCACCCCTGCCATGGCAGGGACACCTCCCACTGTCCCAGGCTGCTCCAAGCCCCAGTGTCCCATGCAGTGGCCTTGGACACTTCCAGTGATCCAGGAGCAGCCACAGCTTCTCTGGGAATTTCATTTCCATGCCTCCCCACCCTCCCAGCCAGGAATTCCTTCCCAATATCCCATCTAAATCAACTCTCTTTCAATCTGAACCCAATCCCCTCATCCTGTCCCTCCAGGCCTTGTCCCCAGTCCCTCTCCAGCTCTCCTGGAGCCCCTCCAGGCCCTGCCAGGGGCTCTGAGCTCTCCCTGGAGCCTTCTCCTCTCCAGGGGAACATTCCCAGCTCTCCCAGCCTGGCTCCAAAGCAGAGGGGCTCCAGCCCTGGAGCAGCTCTGTGACCTCCTCTGGATTTGCTTCAGCAGCTCATATCTATTGTGGATTTGTTCTGTTCCCATATTCTTCCCTAAGCATCCCTTCCTGGCCGTGAAGGAGATGGGGAGCAGAGTTAAAAGGACCTCGGGCCTGGCCCTTCTCCTTTGTTCCCTGAATTCCCTTAAAACCAGGAGGGAGGGTGACCTGTATTCCTGGAGCTCCTGAATATTTGGATAAAATGCAGCACAAATGATGAGTGATGGACCTCAGGCAGGTTTTTAGCCCATTTCTCCCCAAATTCCATACAGCCACAGACTGTGGCTCCCTTACCTGCCACACATCCAGCCAATAGAAGCAGGATCATTTTTCACGTCACTTTTTCCATCAGTGGCAGCAGCAATGGCATGTTTGGGTCAAAACCCAGGGATTCCCCTGATTCTCATCTCTCCCAAAAGAAGAGAGATGCCAAACACAGCTGGTTTTAAAGCAGGTCCAACCCATCCTCTTTCCAAGGGTGAGCTGAAGGGTGAATGGGATCTCCAGCTCCCAAAATCCCAGGGAAGGGGAGTCAGAGCCAGCAACTTGGGAGGTTGGCTCAGCTTGGGAACCACCACCAGCAGGATGGGCCACGCTCAGATCCAGCCCCAGTCCTGTCGTCATCTGCTCCTGCTTGTCTGTAGCGCGAGGGTTTGACGGCTTCCCGGGAACTCGGAGGGGCCTGGAGAATCCGCCCCCTTCCAAACACAATGGGAAGGGCCCAGCGTGTTGCAGGGCTGCTTTATCTAAACCCCATTGTTCCAAGCAGCAGTCCTGGAGCTCTCTGGGGTCCTGGGAAAAGCAAACAACTTTGTGGAGCCTCAAAGTGACGGCACAGGAACGGGTTTGGGTTGTTTTATCCCCAATTTTCACAAAGGAATGTCAGCGAAGTGTCAGGCGTTTGCAGCAGGACACGGGCAGAGGTTTTAAAGTCTGTGGAGGAATAAAAAATAATTATCTGGGAGATGTTTTGTTCGTAATTTCAATTAACCCCGAGGTGCCATCCTCATTCCATGCCTATGGATTTGGTCTGGTGCGTTCCTGGAAATAGAATCCAAGAATCCTGGAATGGTTTGGGTTGGAAAGGAACTTAAAGATGATTTTTATGGACATGTGTGTCTAAATTGGGGTGTCTGAGAGTACACTGGAGTGTCTGAGGCTAAATTGGGGGTCTTTTGTGGGAGCTGATTCCCAGACTGGGAGGATTTCAGAGCCTGGAAATCTGTGGATGAGGGGAACAGAGTCCTGCAGGAACGGGGTCATCAATACTCAAAGTTTTCTCTGGGGCTTTGGAAATCAGTGCCTGTTCTGTGCCTTCTGTGTCTATCCCATTTTGTGAATATCCCATTTTGTGAATATCCCATTTAGCTTTTTATTCAGTCTCATTTTCCTGTATTAAAAAAAAAGGACAAGAAAAGCAAGGACAGAGATTTTCTGGCTTTGTTTGTCACTCAAAGCAGCAAACCCCCCATTCCAAACGAGTCCTTAACGACACCTGAATCAGCAGCTCAGAGAAACTGCAGAAATTCCATCTGGGAAATCCTTATTTATGCTTCCCTGTGCTGCTGATCCCACCTTTCACAGCCTTCCCATTCCTCAAAAAACACTGGATCCCTCCCATCTTCCCCGAGTGCTGCTGGTGTCTTGCTAAAGGGGAATAAAATGGATGAAAGGAAAAATTTGGATACAGGGCACAGCTCCGTGAAACTCAGGGTAGGATTTGCCACCAGAAAATTCCTGCTCCGTCTGGTTTTCCTTTTCCTTTTGCACACATGGCAAGAGTTGAAAGAGTGGAGGGTTCCTGCAGGAATCCTGAAATCCTGAATTGATTGGGGTTGGGAGAGACCTTGAAGTCCAGCCAGTTCCAGCTCTGTGTCATGGGCAGGGGCACCTCCACCAGCCCAGGTTGCTCAAAGCCCTGAATATTCTGATTAAATTATAACTAAATTGAAACACGTTGGTTTAGTTATCACACTTTATAGACCAGGCTATTGTGGCAAGGCCAGGTTTGGCCTCTTCCAGCAAGGGATGACCAGGGATGGTCAGTCTCTCATCAGGGTGGACTTCCAGGAGACTTCCAGGGAACTTCCTGGAGTGGGTGGATCTCCAGGTTGTGTCCATGGCTTGGCCATCGTGGCCTTTGTGGTTTTCTGGGAATTATTTGACTTCCCATCCATCTCAGCTCCCCAGGGACACTCCCCAGACCATGGAGATCATCGTTGCAGCTGGCAGATCATTCAATATTTTCCTACCTGGAGGATCTTTCCTGGTTGTTCATTGTGGTTTTCATGGAGCTGGGACCTCCTTTGGGATACATGGAACTCCTGTGGAGATTTTGTCCCCTCGTGGGTAAATCCAGGGAGGAAAAGCTCCTGGGAACTCCAAGTGAGGGAGAAGTGGAAGTGGAGAACCTCAATTTTTTGTTCCAAAGGGTTTCCCCAAGGATCTGAGCACCCCCTCCAAGAAATCTCATTTCCCAGGGGCTTTCCAGAGTGACTCCAGGTGGGATTTGGGGCACCTCCTCCTCCAAGGAGAGCTCCAGGAGAAGCTTTCTGTGTCTTGGCTCTTGGTGCTCAACCTCCTTCCAAAGAGAGGCCCTGTGGGCAGTCAGGGCACTCAACTTTCCAAAACCTCCTGCCAATCCAGAGGCTCTTCCCAAGGACATTCCCGGCCATAGGAACGTGGATCTTCCTGGTGAAATTTCTGAATGGGGCTCAGGGATGTTTTGTTAAGGCCTCACAACTTTTGTTTCACTGAAAAATTCCAACCTTGGAGTGAGATTATTATTACTATTATTATTAATTATTATCCTTTCATTTTTTACTATGGAGGCAAAAGTTTTCCAGCTCCAAGAGGATTCCAGCTTGGCAGCAGGAAAATCACACACCAGGATATTTTTCCCTGAAAGCTTTGAAATCTCTTCTTCTTGGCTTTTCAGGGCCCGCTGCCTGCACAGACAGATCTATAAAAATCTATAAAAATATCCCATAAATACGCACAGACACACTCAGTAAATTAATATTGGCAAGGGCTTCGCTCCTCCAGCGCAAACCGCAGAGAAACATTCCCAAATCTGCGGATTCTGATGTAATAGGGCTGAGGTTTGGCATTCCAGGACAGCGTTCCAAGCCTCAAATCCCAATCAGAGCTGTCATTCAGAGCCCAGCATTCCTGACATTACTGCAGCCCCCTGGGCAGGGCGAGGGAGAGGAGGGAATGAGGAGAAAGATGCTGAATTGGTTGGGTTTTTTGGGATTTTTTGCTAAAATCAGTCTGGGAAAGGCAGGGCAGGCTGGGATGGGGGGGCAGGCATTTTAACCCTTTCCAGGAATCCCTGAGTTCAGCTGCAGGATCAAGGAAAAGGTTCTGATATTTAATGGAAACCTCAGGGTTTCAAGGGCAGCTTTGGAAAATAACAGCCTAAAACTTCCTAAATGATTAATTATTAAGCACTGTTCTGTGACAGAGCCTTTTCCAATGGGATTTTGGCAAGCTCAGGTTGTGTCTGGATTGGATAACCACGGGCAGAGGCTGCTTGGGATTTAAAAGAGGGAAAAATAAACGCAGGTGATTTTTTCCCTCATATCCCATAGCCAAAGTATTTCCTTCCCCAGTTTTCTGGTGTGGGTTACGCTCCCCCAGGCTGCACATCAGTCATCCAGCAATGGCTAAATTGTGCAATTCCAGCAAAATTCCCAGCTCAGCAGGCATTTTGTCCAGGTGAAAATTCCCAAGTGATCCCTGGACTGGGCCGAGGGTTTGTAAAGCGCTTTGGGTTCCTTTGGGATGAAAACACTGCGAAATTCCCAGGCATGGGATTAACCCCACTCCATTGTTAATCCCTTGCCAAATTTCCAGCTCAGCAGGCATTTTGTCCAGGTGAAAATTCCCAAGTGATCCCTGGACTGGGCCAAGGGTTTGTAAAGCGCTTTGGGTTCCTTTGGGATGAAAACACTGCGAAATTCCCAGGCATGGGATTAACCCCACTCCATTGTTAATCCCTTGCAAAATTCCCAGCTGAGAAGAGATTTTGTCCAGGTGAGAATTCCCAAGTGATCCCTGAGTTGGGCCAGGAGTTTGTTGGTTTGTTGGAACCACTTTGGGCTCCTTTGGGATGAAAATGCCGCTAAATTCCAGGGATGGGATTAACCCCATTCCATCATTATTCCCTTGCCAAATTCCCAGTTCAGCAGGCATTTTGTCCAGGTGAAAATTCCCAAGTGATCCCTGAATTGGGCCAGGAGTTTGTAAAGCACTTCAGGTTCTCTTGGGATGAAAATGCCGCACAACTCCCAGGTACGGGATTAACCCCACTCCATCGTTAATCCCTTGGGAAAATCCCACCTCCCCACCTCAGGGAACACAAACCCCACTTCCCAAGCTGCCAAAAAAGACGGGATTCCCGGAGGATCTGGGCTCTGGGTGCTGCCAGGGTTGTGTGGCACAGGAGGGCCGCGTTCCCCATGTGACGCTGTTTTCTCCATCGTTTCTGCTGCAGGAGGTCTTTGATCGCCTCTATTTGATTTATACTGTTGGATACTCCATCTCCCTGGGATCCCTCACAGTTGCTGTCCTTATCCTGGGATACTTCAGGTAGGCGGCTCTGTTTTTACCTAAGCGACACCGGAGAAGCCGCGGGTTTTTCCGGAAGGATGAAAACTGGGGTGGCGCAGTTCAGGAAGCCACCAGTGGTGGTGGCATCGGTGATTTGGGCTGCTTTAGGGTATCCCAGGGCAAACTTCCTGGGGGATGGCGGGTGGGATTTTGGAACTCCTTCCACTTCCCTCAGGTGGAGTTTTCCAGGCCCTCTTCGTAGCAAATGGGAAGAGGAGCATCTCCAGGAATCCCTTGGAATACTGTCCAGGATTTTCTGTCCCCGTTGTCCCTGCAGGTGACTGGCTTAGCTTTAGATGGCTGATTTGCAGAGAAATAAGATTCTCTGAGGGAAATCCCACTCTAAGTCCGAATGTTTGTGAAGGATAACCCAGTTGAAAGGGATGGAAAACTCCCAGGCTGATTCCTCCAATCTCCCCACACTGCTGCTCTTCCCAGGGATCCAACACTGACCCTCCTGACTCCATTGTGTCCCCTCCCTTCCCACCAGCCCTTTGAAGGGATTTAGACCCCTAAATGCCACTTTGAACCCTCGTTATCCATTCCTCCATCCACTGTTGCAGCTTCCATCCCTGGAAGTGTCCAAGGCCAGGTTGGACAGGGCTTGGAGCAGCCTGGGATGGTGGAAGGTGCCGGGGTTGGAATGGGATGATATTTAAGGTCCCTTCCAGCCCAAATCATCCTGGGATTCTGGGATTCTTGCTGGCACAGACAGCATGGGATGGGAGGGATGAAATGTGTCACCCACATCCAGGGATTTGTCCTTTGGGAATGTTCTAGCTGGTGACCCCATAGAGCAGGGTGGCCCCAAACCCTGAGCCCCAGATTTGCTTCCCTTCAATTTCTGCTCGTGTCTTCTCCTAAAAAACCAGCAGGACTTGGACAAGAGCAGGTGGGGGCCAAAACAGCCACGTAGTGTCTGCAGAGGGATTTGGGAAGCTTGAGCCAAGCCCCAAGGACACGGAACACTGGGAATGAAATGTGTGGCTTTGGGCTCTGAAAGGGCTCAGAGCTCTCAGCAGACAGCAAAAGGTGTCAGGGGGGTTTGCTTAGACAGAAAATCCCAAATCCATGACAGACCCAATCCAAAGGGCACTGCAGACCCCAGCCCTCCACCACACTCCTGTTCTCCCAACCTTTTCCCTCCACTTCATTTCCCACTGGACACTGGCAAGGTTGTCAAAATATTCCATGTCCACGTGTGCAACAGAATTCCTGTTTTTTCTTTGTCCATATCTTTATCCCACTTCATTTCCAGCCCAGACCACCTAGGCAACTGTGCAGGAGCATCTTTATCCCAAGGATCAGAGCAGCAGCAGGAATCAAGCCAGGTTTTATCCTCAATAATCCAGAGATTCATTGACTCCCTTTCAAATGCAGGGAACAAAGCCAATCCTTGTTTAAACCTCATCAGTTCCACTTGGAGTAATTTGGATTATAAAAGTGCAGAGAACAGCTGGTGTTGTTATCATAACAACCTGCAAAAGGGATAAAAACACAGCCTTTAATTAGTGCAGATTATTGGGATTTAAGAGGAATATAAATCCATTCATAAATCCAGGCATGGCACCAGAGCTCCAGAGGACAAAGGGGACCCAAAGAAGTCAGTCCCTTCTTCCCAAAATCCTGATTCCTGATTCCAAAATACACCTCTTCCTCCTGGTTCTGACCCATTCACCTCTCACCATCCCTGAAAAAGCTTTTCCTCCAAAAAGGACCTTAAAGCGCTTTACAACTGGGATTTGTGGGGTCACTGCTGCCAGTGCTGGGGTGCAGCCCACGGACTGCTCCAAAGGATGACATTTACACCAGGAAAACAGGAACAACTGCCCAGCACACCCGAGTTACTGCTGGAGTTGCTCCTAAATTGAGCTGGACAAAAAATTTAATGGTTTACAGGAAGTTCTGCGAGGTTTCCAGTGGCCCCAGGTTCTGGAGCTTCTGGAATCCAAGGGCAGGAGTGGATAGGAGAGCAGGAATGGCTTTCCACTCCCACAGGGCAGGGTTAGAGCAGATTTTAGGAAGGAATTCCTGGCTGGGAGGTTGGGTTGGGAGGCCCTGCACAGGTGCCCAGAGCAGCTGTGACTGCCCCTGGATCCCTGGCAGTGCCCCAGGCCAGGCTGGACAGGGCTTGGAGCAGCCTGGGACAGTGGGAGGTGTCCCTGCCATGGTAGGCGGTGGGATTGGATGGGCTTTGAAGTCCCATCCATCTCAAACCATTCCATGATTCCCCGAAGCCCCTGGAGAAGGTGCTAATCCACTTCCCAGCCCCATGGGAGAGCAGGGAGCCGTGACCCTCACTCTGCTCCCTCCCCATGGGGACACGGTGCCGGTGGGAGGAGCCAGAGGTGGCCCCGGCTCCATCCAACAGCTGGACTGAACTTGCCAATCCTTCTTCTCCTCCTCCAGACGTTTGCACTGCACTAGGAACTACATCCACATGCACCTGTTTGTGTCCTTCATGCTGAGGGCCGTCAGCATCTTCGTGAAGGACGCGGTCCTGTACTCCGGGTCAGCCCTGGAGGAGATGGAGCGCATCTCCGAGGAGGACTTGAAATCCATCACGGAAGCACCTCCAGCGGATAAATCGCAGTTTGTGAGTATTCCCAGAGCAGTGGTTTTCCAGGATTCGTGTCTTTGTCCTCTCTGTTCAACACTTACCCTCTTTTGGGGAGTTTTCCCACCCTACTCATCTTTCACAGCCTCTTCCTGTCCATTCCCATTCTCAGTCCATTGGTTCAGAGGGATTCCCAATTCCTGAGCTAAGGAAAAGCTGCTCCCATGGCAGTCAAGGTTGATGGTTTGATTCCCATCTACATTCCCCTGATACCCCCTGGAATTTATGGCTGTGGAAGTATTCCTGACCATCCCAGCACAAGGCACATCCAGCCTGGCTCACAGCACTTCCACAGATGGGGAATGCACGACTTTTCTCCCTCCCATATGGAAAAAAAGACATTTTGGAAGGGAAAATGGGGGAGGATGGTCACAGGAAAGGGTGGGGCTCATCTACAAAGAGGAGGTGGTGTCTATGAGAGGGACCTCAGACAGAATCATTGAGTTGGAAAAGAATTCCAAGGTCATCCAACCTTGGAATTGCTGGTGGGTCCCCAATCCCAGCCTTGTCCCCAGTCCAGAGTTCCACCTCCAGGAATTCCTTGGACACTTCCAGTGATGGCAACTCCAAACCTCCCTGGCAGCCTCTTCCAAGGCCTGAGCACCCTTTCCATGGGGAAATTCCTGCTGCTGTCCAACCTGAACCTCAGGCTCCACTCATGGTGGCTTGAGTCAATGCAGTCAACCCAGACTGCAGGCGAGTCAACATCCCACAATAAAAATGGAAGATACATCAGTTGGACTCTTCTCCGAAATTCCATGGGGATTTCACCGTATAGAAATCTCTGATGGCAGCATCTGCATTGTCCATGTGCACGGGGGGATGAAGCCCATCCTCAATTTCCCACATCCTGAAGGTCTTGGCTCTCCTTGTCATTGGTTCTATACCGGATTTCCCATGGAAACCCAGGAGTTTGTAAAGCGCTTTGGGTTCCTTTGGGGTGAAAACACTGTGAAATTCCCAGGCATGGGATCAACCCCACTCCATAGTTAATCCCTTGCCAAATTCCCAGCTCAGCAGGCATTCCGTCCAGGTGAAAATTCCCAAGTGATCCCTGAACTGGGCCAGGAGTTTGTAAAGCGCTTCAGGTTCCCTTGGGATGAAAATGTTGTGAAACTCCCAGGCATGGGATCAACCCCACTCCATCATGAATCCCTTGGGAAAATCCCACCTTCCCACCTCAGGGAACACAAACCTCGCTTCCCAAGCTGCCAAAAGATGGGATTCCCAAAGGATCTGGGCTCCGTGTGCTGCCCAGATCCTTCTCACCTTCTCACTTCCCACAGCTCCTGACAGGAGGGCACAGCCAGGGGGGTCGGGCTCTGCTCCAGGGCACAGGGACAGGAGCAGAGGGAACGGCCTCAGGCCGGGCCAGGGCAGGCTCAGGGTGGGCACAGCAGGAATTTCCCCATGGAAAGGGGGCTCAGGCCTTGGAACTGCCCAGGGAGGTTTGGAGTCCCCACCCCTGGAGCTGTCCAAGGAATTCCTGGATGTGGCACTTGGCACTCTGGTGGGGATCAGGCACAGCTTGGACTCGATGGTCATGGAGGCCTTTTCCAACCTCAGGAAGTTGATTCTGGGATCAGCTGTGGATTTCCTTGGCTTCTCAAGTCTTTCCCAGCTTGTGCTACAACCAGGGACCAGCAACAAACACCCTGTGAAAAATCAGAGGGTTTGGGAATGTCCCAGTGTGCATCCAAGTGTCCCAATGGAACTTTGTCATTGTGCTCCTTTCCCACCCCGGACATCCATGTCATTAATTTACCGATTCTCACTCAACGCGCTCCAAAACTCTCATTTTTTTGGAAAGAACACAAAATGTTTCACTGCATTGTTTGGTGTTTCTCCTCTTGCTGGGCTCATTATGAGGAATAATTAGGATAATATATGGCATTCTTTGGATATTAGCATTTAATGGCATTTCTCGCTCTTTGGAATTGCATGGCAAACAAGCAATGAAGGCGACAATTAATGGATTTCTTTTGTTTCCAAACGAAGTGGGAACTTCGCAATTAGTGCCTCACATTCCCTGCATGAGGCAATAAATATAAAAAATAAACATCGAAAATATCATCAAAACTAGATGGGGATTTTTTACAAATATAAAAAATATTAATTAATTTGGAGGGGGGTTTAATTAATCTATTTTAACTCCCTCTGTCTATGAAAGCAATGAATGTAATGTGAGCATATCTTATCAATATGCAAATATATGTATAGATGTATATATTGATGGACAAAAATTAGCATAAGAACTGTGCCAGGATTTTAAAAAATTCTCTTTTTATTTCCAAGATATTATTATTGGTACTTTCTGTCAGTCCTTTGCATTCCTCTTAAAGGAAGGGACAGCACAAAGATGGACAAAGGGATGTAGCAGCCACAGAATTCCTGGGAAATCCAACTTCCCAGACTCCAAGGATATCCACATTGACAAGAGCTGGCTTTGTACTGATTCATCCCAAAGTGGCACCAATGTTCTGCAGCCTGTCTCTACCGGGGCCGAGAAATTGGGAAGAAAGGTGGCTTCATCCCACTCTGTCCCATGGGAGTGTTGGGTCACAGTTGGGGTTTTGCTCCCAAAAAATTAAAGTATTTCAGCTCAGCATGGAGTGACAGCTCAGCCTTAACTCCACAATGTCCTGGAAGTCTCTCCCAGATCTCCCATCTTGCAGTTCAGGTGGGACACCTTGGGATATCCAGGGAAAATCCTCCAGGTCCCCTCTTGGAACACCTCTTGCTCCGAAAGCAGCAGGAGCCTTCCCAAGAGTTCCCAATTGTTGGGGACAGACAAACAGCCCTGGAGGACCCTGGCACGGACATCCATGACAGGATGGGTGACTCCATCCCACCTTGGTCTCTCCATGAGCTGAGGAAGGAGCTGAAATTCCAAGTGCTGTGACTTCAGCAGGACACCCAGACCGGGACAACTTGGCCAAGGCCCCTTGGCCTCCAACATGGGCAAAGGAGCACAGGGAAAAGATGAAACACGGGGAAAAGATGAAACACAGGGAAAGATGAGCCCCAACTGCTCTAGGAAGTGTGTGAGCCCCTCACCACCAGGTTGGGAGAGAGCAGGGCCAGGCCATCATCTCTTTTTCTCTACTCACCTGCTGTAGGAAAAACCGTCTTTGGCTCAGGATTTTTTTCCCAACAGTTCACCTTTCCTGCTCTTCCACAGGTTTTCCCCCCTCACAAAAACCCCCGAGACAGAATTTTCTGATTTCATTTCCTTTCTCCACCTTGTTCCCCACCCCACCTCAATGTGTTTGCGCAGCACAAGAATTTCACCCCGTGTTCCTTCTCTGTCCTGTGGTCGCTGCAGGTGGGCTGTAAAGTAGCTGTCACCTTCTTCCTCTACTTCCTGGCTACCAATTACTACTGGATCCTGGTGGAAGGGCTCTATCTCCACAGCCTCATCTTCATGGCATTTTTCTCAGAGAAGAAATATCTCTGGGGATTCACATTATTTGGCTGGGGTAAGTCATGGCTGCTCCTGGAAGAGCCTCTTGGGGGTGGTTCCTGAAGGAAACTGTGGATGTACAGAAACATGGGAGAGGGGATAAAGGCAGGATGAGCAGTTCTTGCAAGGACAGGCTTTCCATCCTGGGATTGATAATTTTTTTTGTGGGGAGTTTTGAATAAGTTAGAGATGGAACTTTTGAGTTTTAAAAAATAGGACTTTACTTTTTAAAAAATCATAAGGTCTTTAATTATAAGACTTTTTAAGGAGTTATTGATTAATAAAACACTATTAATAAAAACATTTCTATTTTTAACCTAATCTTTAAATATTGTTACTTACATTACAGTATAAACTTTCTTAGTTAATTATATTATAATACACAAACTTATAATACTATATTCTGATATTTTTGTTTACTTCTATAACTACTTTAATTTTTTCTATATCTTAAACTCTAAAATTCTAAACTTCATTTTACTTAGTTTTACATATCTTTACTTTAAACTATAAATCTACATTTTTATTTTTAATACCTAAATTTAAAAGCTTTTCTAAAGTCTTAAATCAAATCCCATGTTAAACTTTGACTTACAAATTCAAAATTCTAAGAATTCCTTATATTTTGAATTCCAACACTGGGAAGCCTTTGTCATTCTGGAACTGTGGTGTTACCATTCTGGAATTGGGGTGTTACCATTCTGGAACTGTGGTGTTACCATTCTGGAATTGTGGCGTTATCATTCTGGAATTGTGGTGTTACCATTCTGGAATTGGGGTGTTGGGGTGTTACCATTCTGGAACTGGGGTGTTACCATTCTGGAATTGTGGTGTTGGGGTGTTATCATTCTGGAATTGGGGTGTTCTCACTGTGACTCCTCCCAGGCTCTCCAGAAGGATCAGCCCAGGCTTGGAGAGGCAGCACAAAGACACAGGGAATCCCAGGATGGGCTGGGGTTGGGAGGGACCTCAAATCCCATCCGGTGCCACCCCTGCCATGGGCAGGGACACCTCCCACTGTCCCAAGGTGCTCCAAGCCCCATCCAACCTGGCCTGGGACATGTCCAGGGATCCAGGGACAACCACAAATCTCTGGTGGTGCCTCACCACCCCCAACATTTTGCCACCCAAATTTGGGATGAGACAGCCAACTTCAGGGGTTTATCCCCACCTCTTCCCAGGATCTCCTGCTGAGAAACCAGTGCTGAGCTGGAGGGGCAGGAATCTGTGGGAGGTTTTGAGCATCTGCTCCCAATGAGAGCCCCAAGCTCTGATTTCCTCCCTCAAACCTCAGCTGGTTCAAATCCTTGAGGTCTCCTGGGCCTTGGAAGACCACTGGAAACCTGCAATTTGTGGGGAAGAGTTTTTTATTTTCCTTTTCTTTCAACTTGGGCATCTTTTCCCTGAGTAACGAGAAAGGGGCGGGATGTGGGTGCAGGGAAGGGGCTCATTAGGAGAAGACGTTTTGGGCACACACATTTCAGAGGAGAATGGGATTTCTGTTCACTCCTGGCTTTAATTTTGGCTTCCCAGGAGTTACGAGGTGCTGGGACAATAAAACAACTGCCCACAGTTGTCTCGGAGTCTGGAGGTTGGGAGGAGAGCAGGGAGTGTTTCCGATGATCCTTGAGGATGTAAGGAAGGATAGTGGGGTGTGGGTTTAAACAGGAATTAGCAGGAAAACCTGTTCAGAGGTCCGGGGGGGCTGTGGTTACCTGGCACAGCCCCACTTCCCAAATCCCAGATCCCAAATCCACCTGGCCACATCCTGACTGCATTTTTAGGACAAGGTTGAGGTGTGCACCACCCCACCCCCATTTCAGAACAAGATTTTTATGGAAAAAAGTTGGTGGCTGTCTCCAATGGTGGAACTCAGAGCAAGGCAGGGAACCCAGAACTGAGTCCATGAAGGATTGCAGATTTTTGTGATTCAATGCTCCAGGGCAGGGCTCTCTCCAGCCTTTCTCCTTCCCCAAATGAGGAGGAAGCTGCTTCCAAACCTCCTGTTCAGCTGCCCCATAGGTCAGAAACTGCTGGTGCTGACAGATGATAACGAGGGGAACTGTAAGTAGAGAAATATTCCAAAGTGGGAATCCATCTCTCAGGAAAAGCCTGGTCCTGGACAGCTGGAAAAATTTTGGGAAAATCAACAAATTAGGAGATATTTGATGGGGTTTGGAGCAACCTGGGACAATGGAAGTTGTCCCTGCCCTTGGCAGGGGATGGAGTGAGATGGGATTTAGGGTCCCTCGGCACCCAGATCATTCTGGGATTCTATTTTGGGGATTTGGCATTTCTTATCTCAGCTGCTGAGGGCCGGAGAGGGCTTTGGATGGCACCTCCTTGCTAAAGCAAATGAACAAAACCCCAACTAAATTAAATTAGAAAAGAGAAATAAACTCATCTTCCTCCAAACCTTCAGGCCCTGTAAAAATTCCCCCTCAAAAAACAACATTAAACTGCAAAGAGCAGACTTAAAGAAGCAATTCCCCAGAGGGAATTCGGGAGGAGAGGGAAGCAGCTGGAAAATAATGCCATGTGTTTAACAAGCAAAACCAAAGGGGAAAAAGTTGGGACAGGCAGGGATTGCTCTCGTCAGCTCTCCCAAGCTCTGCCAGGGAATAATCATTTTATCGGAGCGACCACAGGGCTGGAGTCACACCTGTCACAACAGCCAGCATCCCTGGGCTTCCAGGAGCCTGAGGCTGCCCCGTGGAAATTCCTCTGGAATGAGAACACACGATCCCTCCGGGGGCAGTTGGGATTGCTTTGTTTGGATTGGGATGATAATGTCCACACAGGCACCCGCTCAGGCGGATTGTTTGGATAATTTTTGGGCACTGGAAAGGGCAGACCAATCCAGGAGCCACTGGAGACAGTGGAAAAATTCCAGTTCCCTGCAGCGGGCACCAGATCCTGCCCACACCGCAGCAATGAGTGACAGAGAATCAGGGATAAATAGTTATTCCACAGAAAAGACAGATTTGCCCCCAAAACTGAAATATTCTGGCAATAATCAGCATTGAATTTGTCCTGCCTGGAAATCTCCAAGGTGGAAACAGGGAGCAAAAATCACCCCGAAACATATTATTCCTGGGAAAAGCAGGACAAAGAGCAATTCTTTGATGTCATCTCCGTGGATTTCTGTCCAGTATTTTCAATCCACATCCTCACTGGCACAAGCTCCATCAAAGTCCTCAACTCCCTTCTTCCAAGGGAGACCCTGCTGATGGAAAGGAACTCATTCCATGCCAGCACCCACCCAAAATAAATAAACAATGGCATTATGGGCAACAATAAATCCCTTGGGAGACTCCCAGCTCCCTGCAGCTGTTTTTTGAAGGAAGTTTAGGAACCATGACCAATAGCCAGGAAACCCGAGCTGATTCCATTGGCGTTTTCCCTTCACACCACGTTAATTCCCACACACATGGCTGGGCCGCCCTGGATTTCAGCAAAGTGGGGATTGCAGGGACACCTGGGAAAGATAAAAGGATGGTAGGAGGTGCTCCGAAAATCCGTGATGACAATGATGAGGCCTGCATGTTTATCCAAGCAGGAATAATCCTGCCCTGAAAAATATGTACCAAGCAGGACCAGAGGACTTAAAAGTATTATTGTTATTCCCATTAAACATCAGGAAAAAGGGACACAGAGGGACTCATAAAACACAGGCATTGTTCCTCAGAGAAGCTTTTAAGTCCCAGGGAATTGAGAGCAGAATTCCCAGACCTACACAAGGTCTTTATTCCTAAAGTCCCTTCCAGCAGTCGCTCCCTCACTCCACGTGCATTTTTCCGGCTGCTGGGAGACGCAGACACAGGAAAAGTCCTCGAGGGGGTGGGGTGGCCAGCACATCTTTCCCATTTTCCGGCTGCTGGGGAGATTCCTGACTTTATAGCACCTGCATTGTACACACTGTGTGTGTGGCTGGAAATGCACAGCGCATACAATGTGGATTCTGTACAAGTCGCTCACGGCACGGCGGGGCTGGGCTGGAGTCAGGGAGCACATCCATCCATGTATCCATGTATCCATGTATCCATGCATGCATCCATCCATGTATCCATCCATGTATCTGTGCATCCATCCATCCATCCATCCATCATCCATCCATCCATCATCCATCCATCCATCATCAATCCATCCATCCATCATCCATCCATCCATCCATCCATCCATCCATCCATCCATCCATCCATCATCCATCCATCCATCCATCCATCCATCATCCATCCATCATCCATCCATCATCCATCCATCATCCATCCATCCATCCATCCATCCATCCATCCATCCATCCATCCATCATCCATCCATCCATCCATCATCCATCCATCCATCCATCCATCCATCCATCCATCCATCCATCATCCATCCATCCATCCATCCATCCATCATCCATCCATCATCCATCCATCATCCATCCATCCATCATCAATCCATCCATCATCCATCCATCATCCATCCCATCCATTCCATCATCCATCCATCATCCATCCATCCATCCATCCATCCATCCATCCATCATCCATCCATCCATCCATCCATCCATCATCCATCCATCATCAGTCCATCCATCCATCCATCATCCATCCATCATCCATCCATCATCCATCCATCCATCCATCCCTCCATGCACATGTTGGGATTTTTAGGAATAACTCTTTTCCCACTGGTATTTTATCATTGCTTGGGAGCTGGAAGTCGGCACAGGATTATTAAGAATGGGAATTGTGTCTCTTCTGAAGCTCAGGACAGGCAAGAGAGGAACAGATTCCCGTCAAGTATATCCAAATCTCCCAAAAAATCCATCCTTTGCACTTAGAACTTCGCTGTAGTGGGAATATCCAATATTCCATGGACGGCCTTTCGACATGGCAGCTCCTCAGTGGATATAAACTGAAAGAGCACAAAAAAATTCAATCCATTTAAACCTCGGATGATTTTCCAGAGACTGGAATGGGTGGATGGCAGGGAGGAGGAAAGAGCTGGTGCCTGTCACCTTCCCCGAGCCCTCACTTCCCTCTCTCCAAGTTCCCAGTGCGACGGGTCAAGGATTTTCCTCCCAGTGCCAGCAGCACAGGGAATTGTGGAGCGGGATGAATTCCTTATAAATGTGGCTTTGTAGGAGCGCTGGGCCTGAGTGAGGCTCTGTGTTTAATTATTTATGCTTTCTTATATTACCTCGGCATTCCCAGCTCCCCAGCCTGGATAAGGGCCCCGTTGTCCCTGGGTTTGGGACACAGCCGTCCCTGCTCCACACCCCGTGGTCAGGAAAACCTTTAAGCACCCTAATGAGACTTAAGTGCATGCTGAAAGTTAAGCCTGGGCTTATCCCCGAGCCCCAGTGAGCTTAGACTGGGAACAGCCTCTTCACAGTCCCCGCTGATAAATGTCGCCTTTATTTATTTTTTAATAATTTTTTTTTCCACCTGAAAGGGGTCATTCTTCCCAAATTTGTGGAAGCTACTGTGGATTGGATCCTGCTTTTTAAGGGAAGCCAGTAGGGGACTCGGTTGTACAAATAACTGGACCCTAAAGAAAAATAAATACAAGGTTGCATTTGGATATTGGGGAATTTTTTTTTTCCACGTTTCATAGGGAAAAGATGATGGCCTGGGATAGCTGTGCTGAAATCAGGATGGTTCCTTTGGGAATGAACCTTTGGCTGGATATTTTGGAAGCATAATCCTAAATTTTAGCATTTCTCTGCTTTGTGCAGCAGCTCTCTCGTATTTAACAGAGCTTCCAATCCACCCAGGGATTTTCTGGGAGAAACTGTCAGAGCCTGACTCCTGCTCTACCTTCCCTTGATGTGAAGGAAGGGAGGAAATATCTTGGAGAAGGTGTGCTGCATAAAACCATTGAAATCATGGAATCATGGAATAGTTTGGGTTGGATGGGGTCGTGAGGATCATCCCATTCCACCTTCTGCCATGGGCAGGGACACCTCCCACTGTCCCAGGCTGCTCCAAGCCCTGTCCAGCCTGGCCTGGGGCACTGCCAGGGATCCAGGGGCAGCCACAGCTGCTCTGGGAATTCCATCCCAGCCAAGAATTCCCCATTCCCAATCTCCCATCCATCCCTGCCCTCTGGCACTGGGAGCCATTCCCTGTGTCCTGTCCCTCCATCCCTTGTCCCCAGTCCCTCTCCAGCTCTCCTGGAGCCCCTCCAGGCCCTGCCAGGGGCTCTGAGCTCTCCCTGGAGCCTTCTCCTCTCCAGGGGAACATTCCCAGCTCTCCCAGCTCCAGAGCAGAGCCATGGGATCACCCATGGGATGAGTTGGCCAGAGACAGTTTCAGCCTCTCAGGTCCCAGCACTCTCAGACCTCAGAGATCACCGAGTCCAACCGTCCCCAGCACTGCCAAGGCCACCCTGACCATGTCCCCAAGTGCCACATCCATAGGGATTTAAATCCCTCCAGGGATGGGGACTCCCCCCTTCCCTGGGCACTCCCAATGTGTAACAGCCCCTTTTGGGAGAGGAATTTTCCCAATTTCCAACCCAAACCTGCCCTGTCCCAGCCTGAGGCCATTCCCTCTCCTCCTGTCCCTGTTCCCCCTGGCTGTCCCCTCCTGTCAGGAGCTGGGCAGAGCCACAAGGTCCCCCCTGAGTCCCCTTTGCTCCAGGCTGAGCCCCTGCCCAGCTCCCTCAGGAGTTTTCCAGCTCCTTCCCAACCCTTTTTCCTTCCCTGGACACCCTCCAGCCCCTGAATGTCTTTGCTGTGAGCCCCCCAAACTGAACCAGTTCAGCTCTCAGATGTGAAAGCTCAGCCTCAATTACGCCTGAATAATTGAAAGCTGCTCCTTCCACCTTCCCCTGACCCACTCCACCCAGAATTTTGGTGCCGGAGCCCTCGGTCCCCACTGACCTCGTGTCCCCTGTGTTCTTTTGCAGGACTCCCTGCTGTGTTTGTCACAGTGTGGGCCAGCGTCAGAGCCACTCTGGCCGACACAGAGTAAGTCCCACTGGGTTTCCTTCTCTCCCTCTTATGTGCAGAGTTTTGGGGGATTTATGGGTGAATGCAAAAGGAAAAATAACCAAGCAGAGCTGGAATTCTTCTCTGGCATCATTAATTTTTGGAGGAGGATGGTGGATGGAAGGGAAGGATAATTTTTCCTTTTTTTTTCTGCAGGATCCAATAATGGGAATGCCTGCAATTGTTATCCCTGGGGATAAAGGGACTGTGTCAGGGATCCTTAAAATCCTGAATGAGCAGGAATGAATTTGGGACACAGCAGCTGCAGTACAGTCAGAGAATTTGGTGGTGGGGTGCTAGAACTGTAACTCCTCCATGGATTTTAAAATCCCAGGATGGTTTGGGTTGGAAGGGACTTTAAAGCTCATCCCATTCCACTCCTTCCACTATCCCAGGTTGCTCCAAGCCCTGTCCAACCTGGCCTTTCCCCCAAAACTCACAGGCTTGACCACACAGGCGCTTCCATGTCCCCGGGATCCTCCATCTGAGGGTTCCTGGGCATTCCCAAATGGCTCTGCCTGGGAAGACACTGCTTTCCAAAGGGGATTTCAGCTCCAGGCTTGGGTGGGCTGCTGGAGGGTGGCACATCTGTGACACCGGCTCATCCTCACAGAGGTTCCAGGGAGCACTGGTGGCTTTCCAGCCTCACCTTCCCTGAGGAGCTGGCCTGGGAAAACTGCCAAAGCCATGTGGGGGTGACCTGGATCAGATAAGGAAAAGCCATGGCATTCCTGCCTCCAGAGCTGGAGGGAATTCCAGCAGAATAATTAACACTGAGTCAGCTTTTCCAGGGGCTGCTGGAAACTCCTGGGAGCAAACAGAGCCCATCCCTTCTTGGCAGATGGAGGATTGCATCCCAACATCCCAACATCCACGTCACCAACTGGCCCTCCCAGTTGGGATAAAGACTGAAGGTGGATGGAGATAAAGGATTTTGGGGGATTTTGGTTGAAGGAAACTGCCAGGAAGAGAGTGTGGAACCCCAACATTGTCCCCATCACTGCCTGTCCCCATTGTGCAGGTTTATTCCAAGGGGGAATCATGGAGTGGTTGGGTTGGAAAACCCCTTTAAAGGTCACCTAATCCAACCCCCTGCCATGAGCAGGGACATAGCCAGGACTGAAGAGGCCTACAGGGAACAGGAAGGGATTGTTCACCAGGAACGGGAGGGACAGGACACAGGGAATGGCTTCCCACTGCCAGCGGTCAAGGGTAAATGGGATATTGGGAAAAATTCTTCCCTGCGAGGGTGGGGAAGCCCTGGCACAGGTCACCCAGAGGAGCTGTGGCTGCCTCGTCCTTGGAAATGCCCAAGGCCAGGTTGGACAGGGCTTGGAGCAACCTCTCTCCCATGGCAGGGATCTGGAATTAAATCATCTTCAAGGTCCCTTCCAACCCAACCCATTCCAGGATTCTGTGATCCCACATCAGTTCAGTCTCTCCTGCCTTCATGAAACCTGGATTACTTTTAATGGAGGGATTTTTTTTTTTTTCTGGTGAGGAAGTGAAGAAGTGGAAAAGGATCTGTTCCTGCCTGGAAGGGACAAATCTGGATGGATGTGGAAAGAACTGGAAAGAGCTTCACCCTCTGGAGAGCAGAACCATCCCAACCATGGGGAATATTCTCATTTTTTAGTAGCATTACAGCAGGAAAAGGGAAAAAGGGATATTCCCAAGTCTCACTGAGCACAGGCAGGGTTAGAGCAAGGTCCCTCCACAGGCTTTGGAGGAGCTCATCCTTCCAGGGGGATTTTTTTCCAACAGATTTTTCTGGAGTCGGTTGCTCTTCCAGTGCTTTCCTGACAGGATGTCCATCTCTCCTCAGGTGTTGGGACCTGAGTGCTGGCAATTTAAAGTGGATTATTCAGGTGCCCATCCTGGCAGCTATCGTGGTGAGTATGGGATGGGTGAGGGGCTGGGAGGCCTTTGGGTCCTTGGGAAGAGCTGATCCAGGATTTCCTACTCTAATCACTCTGTTACCAAAATTTCTGCCCTACAATAGTCCCTACGTGTCCACTTTGAGGGGTTCATGTTTGTCCTGCCTGGAATTTTGGCAGCTGAATATGGCAGAAGGGTTTGTGAGTGACTCCAAGGAGAGAAAAACCCCACATTTTCAGGGCTAAGACCCTAAAATCATCAAGGAAACCAACATTCAAGGCAATATTTCCAACCCAGACGATGCTGGAAGCTCTCAGGGGTCCTAACACGTCTTTACCAGGCATCTCCAGTGGCAAGAGATGGAATCTGGGACCTGTAGCTGGACCAAAGCTTTTCCCAGGAATGTTTCAGGGTCATCCCATCATTTCTGAGCTGGTAAAAGCTTGGGAAGCCCGAGGTGGGAAGGGAAATGAAACCATCCCAGCTTTGACTGGATCTTTAATCACTGAGGGTGGATTACTCCAACCCCCACCCGGGAGCCAGAGGGGAAAGGAAGGATCCAAGTGACATTATCCCAACACAGGAGGAGCTCTCCAGAGCTGGAGAGGGCACCATAAGAGTTAATTGTCTGCACCAGGTGAATTCAATTATGTCCTAATTAAAGAACCCATTAATTACCCTCTTCCCCCCTCACCCCCCCCCCCCCCCCCCTTTATTTGGGGTTCTCCATTGCTCATTCTCCTGGTGGAATCCTGCCAAAGAGCTCATGCACTCCCCCAGATCCCATCTCCCCTTCCACTCATCCACGAGTGGAGCCAATAGGAATCTCTCCGCGGTCCAGAGGGTTTGGAATCTTCCAGGCTCTTCCCCCTGCCTCCCAAATCAGGAGGCTGTGGAAGATGCTCAGTGTGGGTGAGAAGAGCACCAGACGCACAAAGAGCCAGAAATTTTCTGAGGTGGATGTGCTGATCTGTGCCGTTAGGTGAGATTTTTGGGGTTTGGCGTGGGGCTGGATTTCATCCTTTTGGTGGAAATTCTCCACCTGGCTCCCGCAATTCCTCGGAAGAAACGCATCACCGGGACCACACCTTTGGAAATGGAGCAGCAGAGGCTGGAGAAGGAAGTTCAGATGGTTCAATTAAATTCACTCCAGCGACCCCATCGCATTTCATTTGAAGGCCAATTAGCAGAGGAGAAAGAGCCCAATCGAGGCTCATCCTTGGAAAAATAAGTTTTCTCCAGGAGCCTCTTCCTGTGCCCTGGCAATTTGCGAATCCAGCTGTTTACTATGCAAAAATATTCCATGGGTTGTGTCAGTTTAATTTCTGTGGGTTCGTATTGTTCTCTTGGCTGCTTCTGCCATTCCCACGTTGCTGGACTAAGTCCTGCATTTTCTGGATGAGATTTTGGAGGCTGAGGGGTTTAAAATCTCTCCACTTTCTGCTAATTTGGACGTAATTCTTTTGTCTGGATTTCTTTTTAAATGCAGCACATTTGGGGAAATCAGAGGAGTTTCCCTCCTGGGTGTGATAATGTTGGGCATCTTTAATTTTGCCGACAAATGCAGTACAAAATCCCACTTTGGAGTCTTTAGAGCTGGAGAAGCTCCTCTAGAGACATAAACCTGCTTAGTTTTTCCCTTTCTGATGGTTTCCAAGGAATTAAATGCCCCCAGGCTCTGTCCTTCCCTGCCTGTTGGTCTGTCCGTTCTTCCCTTATAATTCCTGTGCCCGTCAGGAAATTTCAGCCAAATGGAACTCAGGGAATGGGGTTGCAGAGATGTAAAATTTCCACAAACCTCATGAAAGCAGGGAAATGGACGTGGGAGAGAATTTTCACTCATATCCCAGTGAGGGAAAGGGCGTGGCACAACCTTCCCTGCTTTTTCTATGGAGAGCAGTTCCAAACGAGCTTGCACCTCCTCAAAGGAGGCGGAATCCAACCACAGGAGACAAAGCCATGGCAGATCAGCCCCTGCTGGCTCAGCAGCTCAGGGAATTCCTGGTTTTACCAGGGGGGATAACTGACCATGGGAGCAACTCTCCAGTGGTTGTGGTGGGATCTCTGTCATGGAAATGCTAGAACATGGATCTGCTCTGGCTCCAGCCAAAATGAATCCAAGGAGGTGTCCTGGATAATCCAGTCTGAGGTTCACAATGGTCCCTCCCTGAAACTCTGAGCCGGTGTGTGGTGTGGTAATTCTGTGTCTCAAAATGCTGGAGGCTCCAGGGGAATCCGGAGGCATTATCCAACAGCATGGATCTGCTCATCGAGGTTATGGGATGGTCCTGCCTCTACCCTCTCCATAATCCCATGGAAGGGTTCGGCTGGGCCAGCAGCTGGTGGAATCCAGGGAAAGCAAGCTCTGAAGTGCTCTACAGAGATGGGAATCTCCCCAGTGCCAACCCATCTTTCCTCTCCGTCAGGTGTGGCCATTAAATTCTCCTCAGAGTGTTCCTGTAGGACAGAATCGGAATTACGGAGTTATGAGGGTTGGAAATGTTCTCCCGGGTCAAGTCCAACCGTTCTCCCAGCACCACCATGGTCACCACCAGCCCTTGTCCCCAAGTGCCACATCCACATGGGATTCCACCATTTCCCGGGATGGGGATTCCACCATTTCCTGGGATGGGGATTCCACCACTTCCTGGGGCAGCCTGTTCCAAGGCACCACTGGAATTATCTTGAGCAGCTGGCCACGAGTTGGGTTCACAGATGTGTCTCCCTGAAAGGCAGTAGGTAATATTCCCCGACTGTCCTCGCCTGCTCCATCCTAAACACTTCCCAGAGGAATCTCGGCGGCAGAAATATGGGAGAAATCCAACAGTTTCGTTGCCCTTCTTCATTCTTGAGCTGCCATCTCCAGTTAGCTTCACTCTGTCCTCACCATGGTGCCTTGGGCTTGTTCCTCTTTCCTTTTGCACATGGAGATGTGGGAAGACATCCTACAAGTGCCCCTGGTATCCGAGGGGATCTTAATCCCAGCTGGGCTGTAAAGACAAATAAATCCTCATTTTGGCCTCCTCCTCCAGGTGCCTGCTGGGCCATTCCATATTCTCCTTGAAGGTTAAAAACCTTGGGATCATTCCAGGAACACTCATCCCTTCCACAGGAGGAGCTTCCTCCCCAATCCCAGCCCCTGCCTCACCTGGGGGAAACACCAACCAAACAACTCCACCATTTTCATCGATTTTTTTTTAACAGCTCTCGTTTCTTTGTTGTTTGTTTTCTTTCCCCTGCAGGTAAATTTTATTCTCTTTATCAATATTATCAGAGTCCTCGCAACCAAGCTCCGAGAGACGAATGCAGGGAGGTGTGACTCGAGACAACAGTACAGGTGAGTGTCACCGGCCCTGTCCCCTTTCTGGGGTGGGACAGAGCCCTTGCTTCACCCCCTTGGCTGTGGAGAAAGCCCAGGGTGACACTGGTGCCGCCTAAAATAACTCAAAAAGTTTGTTGTCTTCCAAGTGTGGTAATGCAGAATGAACCAGAGCAATTTAAAACTCTCCTAAACCTTTCAAATGCAGCCTGCTGCAGGAGGTTAGGGAGGAATTCCAGCTCCTCAGCCAGTTTCTGAACCCAAAGTGCAAAAATAAAACGTTGTTTGTGCTGTTGAAGGCCGTAAAACTTGTATCAGTTTATTTGCTTATTTTTATTTCCGTCCTGTGCTTTGTTAAGCTTGGCCTATTGGTTAAACCTGCCCTTGAGTGGGTGTTTTCAGTGCCTTCGCTGAACTGAAAAAAAGATTCCAATTTCGTTTCGTTTTTTGTTTGGTTTTCCTTTGTCCTGCCAAGCTCGTCTCCCTTGATAATTCGGGTTATTTGTAGCATGGTCAAAAACTGGACGGGAAAATCAGATTGCTGGGACACCACGGCTGCTTGAGAGCTCCCAGGGCTCCTCGGGATCTCCTGGGCTGCCCAAGAGGACGCTTGGGAAGGGGCGAGAGCGGAACGGTTTGGGATGTAAACCATGAGCTCATCGCTCCCACCCCCCTCTCCAAACACACATTTGAGGCAGGAGGGGGATTTGGCAGGAAAACACCTCCCAGTTCTCCTCGCTGCCCTGTCAGGGCTCTGATTTATCCATTTATTTACTTCTCCCTGGCCGAAGCTTTGCCATTAATTATGGTTTGGATGGGGCCTGCTCCTTTTAAAGTGTTAAATTCCCCGGGTGGTTTGCAGGACAGAGGCGGTGCCGGCCCTTTCTGGGAGCCATTCCTGCCCTTCCCCATCCCTGCTGCACTCGGGCACTTGCTGGAACTCTTGGCACGAGGTCTAATCCCTCAATTAATGGCACTTCCAGGCAAAGCTGATTCCCTCCGGAGCCAGCCCAGCCAAATTCTCAGGGCTGTGGAGTTGTGGTGCCTCCGTGGAGTCCCCAGCACTGATCCTGTGCTGAGGTGGAGCTGCTCCCTGGAAAAAGGAGCTTTTCCAAGTGATGCTGAAGCCCAAGGCACCTCCTAGGAGTGTTCACCCCGCTCTGTCCTCCTCCCCTGGATGTCTGGAGTAATTCCACTCCTAACTCACCTCCCTCTGCTCCAGAAATGTTGAATTTGCAGGCAACCCCGACAAGGGAAGAGATGAGAATCCTGACTCCATGTTTCAGAAGGCTGATTTATTATTTTGTGATATATATTATATTAAAAGAAAATACTAAAAGAATAGAAGAAAGGATAAGGAAAGGATTAGGAAAGGAAAGGATAAGGAAAGGATTAGGAAAGGAAAGGATAAGGAAAGGATAAGGAAAGGAAAGGAAAGGAAAGGAAAGGAAAGGAAAGGAAAGGAAAGGAAAGGAAAGGAAAGGAAAGGAAAGGAAAGGAAAGGAAAGGAAAGGAAAGGAAAGGAAAGGAAAGGAAAGGAAAGGAAAGGAAAGGAAAGGAAAGGAAAGGAAAGGAAAGGAAAGGAAAGGAAAGGAAAGGAAAGGAAAGGAAAGGAAAGGAAAGGAAAGGAAAGGAAAGGAAATCTTCTGACTGCTCACAGCCTCAGCACAGGCAGCTGTCATTGGTCATCAAGTAAAAACAATTTCACATGCTGGGCAAACTATTCTCCAAATCACGTTCCAAAGCAGCAAAACGTGGAGAAGCTGAAACTTCTCAGGAGAAAAGATCCTAACGAAAGGATTTTTCATAAAATATGTCAGTGACAGAGATCTGCTCTGCACTGGAGCCACTGAGCCAGGGTGGATTTTCCTGCCTGGCCTCAATGGAGTGTTTAAGGTTGGAAAAGAGCTCTGGAAGTGAATTCTCCACCTCCTGCCCAAGCAGTGGCAGCCACTGCAGGTCATGTAGGACCACAGGAAGATGGAGAACCATTTGGGATAAGGGGATTTGGTGGATTTTAGTTGGAGCCTGAGGGCTGGAGTTGCAGCACAAATTCCTTTCCTTCCTTTCCACCTTCCCCCCATGATCCTGACCCAAGCCTGGAGTTGGAAAAGTCCCCTCAGTGTTGTCACCTCCAGCATCACACAGGGCCATATCCAGGGTTGGACTGGCCCACGCTGGAGCGTGAACCAAGAGCTTGGAATTCCAGGTGGAATTCCACAGCACCTGTGTAGACATCCCATATCCAAGGGGACAAGGAGAAAACCACGAGCATCTCGTGCCCAGTGACAAGCCTGGCTGGGCTGGTGATGCTGGGGAGGCTTATCCACGCACTAATTCCTTTTTTCCCCTTTTATTTCCCCCCCTTTTCCCCCCCTTTTTCCCCCCTTTTTCCCTTTTTTCCTTCCCCCCCTTTTCCTTCCCCCCCTTTTCCTTCCCCCCCTTTTCCTTCCCCCTTTCCCCCCCTTTTTTTTCCCTGCAGGAAGCTGCTGAAATCTACCCTCGTCCTTATGCCTCTGTTTGGCGTTCACTATATTGTTTTCATGGCTATGCCATACACAGACGTGTCAGGGATTCTTTGGCAAGTTCAAATGCACTATGAAATGCTGTTCAACTCTTTCCAGGTACTGGAACTCTGGGAAAAACGGGAATTTCAGCAGGGAGAGGAGGGAAATGTGGGTGCAAGGCTGCCTTTAGAAGCAGGGCTGGGTTTACAGTACGCTAGAATTAATTCATGAGGGGATTTGAAAAATATTTGAGCCTCAAATCTGTTTTCTTCTCGCAAAATGCAACAAGAAAATGGGAAATTTGTCCAGCAAAAAATGTTGTTCCCAATTCTTGCCAATGCACCCCAAGATCCCGTCGGCCTCTTGTCCCCCAGGACACCCTGCTGGCTCCTGGTCCACCAGGAGCTCCATCCACAGGGAATTTCCTCTGTTTCCCTCTCCTGCCCCACTGAACAATCCCACATTTTGAATGTCCCCAATCCCAGAGAAGCCTGGGGGGTGCTGGGCAGAAAAGAGACCCAAATTTCCCTAAATTCCCATTAATTTGTTGTTTCTTCCTCCCTCCAGGGATTTTTTGTTGCCATCATATACTGTTTTTGCAATGGAGAGGTGAGTCATGAGCGTCTTCATTCCCTCCCTTCTTGGGTTAATTCCTCACCCAGGTGGATGCACATCAGCACATCCTCATTTTTCTGCAACAAACAACTTTATTTTGCAGTCCAAGGTCTCTCAGTCCCCATAAAAAATTCAAATGTCCTTTTTTTTTCCTGGTGGAAAACCCCCAGGTCAGCATGGCACCAATAAATGAGCTACTGGAAGCAGCTAATGGAGAAAAAAATGTGGAATTTTTAATTTCCTAGCACAAGTGCTGCTTAGTGCAGCTTTATTTCAAATTAGGAAGAAAAACAGATTGATAGAGTCACTGATTAAAAAAAAAAATCTGTATTTTTCCAGGCTCTTTTTACTTTTTTATCTGTTTCCAGAATGATATACCTAATTTTCCTCATTTCCATTAATTCCCTCTATTGCTGCTAATTAAGAAAGTGGACGGTCAGCGACTGCACCCCAGAGAAGAACTTCCACAGACTGGGATAAAATGAAATTGATGGATTTTAAATGGAATTTATGACCTAAATTTATGTATTTTAAGGGGAATTTATAACTTAAATTCATGTATTTTAAGGGGAAATAAAACTTAAAAAATCATTGTTTGTGTTCTGCAGATAAAACGAGGATAAAATCTAAGGGGAATTTATCCTAAATTTAGCAACCTACTTTAGATCCAGTCTAAAATTCCCATTCCAGGGAAATTTCTCAGTATTCAGGTGCCTCTCAAGGTGTTTTTTCCCACTGACACTTGATTTTTATGGGACATTGAGACCATTCCCTCCTGGATGTGCTGCTCTCCATCCCTCAACCCTTGGGCAGAGCTATCCCGCCTTTCTGGCCAGATGTTTTCAGCCATTCCAGATTCCCAGTGTCCAATATTTCATTTGGAAAGGGCAGATCTAATGTGAATTTATTATTTATTTAATGTGAATTTATTATTTATTTAATGTGCATTTATTCCAATTTCATGGAATCACAGAATCTCCTGAGTTGGAAGGGACCCATAAGGACCATGAAATTCCAAGTCCCCACAGAGTTTCCCACCTATTCCATCCGTGGACACCACATTTTTCTGGCATTTTTCTGGCATTTTTCTTCTCCCAGTCATGTTGGGTTTTTTCCTCCTTTTTTACCCCTCAGGTCCAAGCAGAAATAAAGAAGTCATGGAGCAGGTGGACTTTAGCACTTGACTTTAAAAGGAAAGCCCGGAGTGGGAGCACAACCTACAGTTATGGACCAATGGTTTCCCACACCAGCATCACAAATGTAGCCACGAGAGGGGCACTTGCCCTCCACCTCAACACGAGACTTATTCCAGGGACCCTCAACGGCCACAGGAATTTGCCAGGTTATGTGAAAAATGGCTCCATTTCAGAGAATTCCATGCCTTCCTCCGGCCCGGAGCAGTACAACAAAGATGAGGAATACCTGAACGGCTCCGGGCTCTACGATGGAGACAGACCCACGGTCCTGGTGGAAGAGGAGAGAGAGACAGTGATGTAAAGACAGGAGGAGGAAAGGAAAAATTCAGCCAAAGGATGAAAAAAAAAAAGGTTCCTGGAGAGCATTCAGTGGGAAAAGACCATCAGGCCATGCAGCGGATTCCGAGGGTTTCCATGCAGCTCCTCTGTTCTGTGGAATGAGAGATTAAGTTATTTGGGGAAACAAAAAAAAAAAAAAAAAAACCACACCAAAAAGTGAGCCACCAGCGTGGCCAGTGGGTGATGCCATCCATGAATTCCGTGATCCACGCTCTCCTGGTGATAACAGAGCCCTCCAGACCTGCTGGACACCGGAGATCCCGGGAGCTCGCCAGGGAGGGCTGCAAAGCCCTGCGTGGTCCTTGGACCCCTCGGGGAGCGTGGGCGGCCGAGGAGGACGGGAGCGTCCCCCAGGAAAGCAGGAGGCGCGCAGGGAGGGTGCAGGGCCATCGTCCTGGGAGGGGACAAGCCACCCTGGGGGGCACTGGCGTGGGCTTGGCTTGTTCTCTGCCTGTGGATCTGCCTGGCGACACACACAGCGGTGGGAAAGGCCCCACCACCCGTCGGTCAAAGGTTGTGTTGGGTGTAACCAGCCCCCTGTTCTTCTTCCCTTGGGAATTCTCACTCCCTGGCAAAATGCTCCTCTGGGCTGGGGAGGGTTAACAGCTCATGGAGGCAGGCAGGGATTGTCCTCTCCTTTCCCCGGGTTCTGGGGGCAAGGCAGGAGTGGGTACAGTTTTAGGGTTGGATGTGGTTATCGGCAGGTGCGGCATTCCTGCTCTTCCAGAGGGGCAGGTGGAGAGGGAACCACCAAGGGCACGGAATTTGCACATCCCAGAGGGGTGATTGTGGCTAAAATCAGCTCCCAGGGTGGATAACTCGGCCCTGCCTTTTTGCGGGTGCTCCTGGAAAGCAGCTTCCATCCTTTCTTAAAACTCGGGAATGTTCCTTGCTCTGCCCTCTGAATGTCCTGTTCCACAGGGTCGTGGAATTCTGGAATGGTTTGGGTTGGATGGGACCTTAAAGGTCACCTTGTTCCACGCCCTGCCATGGCAGGGACACCTCCCACTATCCCAGGTTGCTCCAATTCCTTCCCAGTCTGGCCTTGGACTCTTCCAGGAATGGAGAATCCACAGTTTCTCTGGACAATTAATCCAAACCCTAATGAGGAGAAAGACTCCACCAGCGGTTCTTCTGAGGGCTAATTAAGGATTAATTTCCCAGAATCTGAAGGGAGTCAGGAAGAGCAGGTGGGATCCTGAATTGGTGTCCCAAACTTTTATCAACCACTCAGAGTAGGGCCTGACCAAAACCCAGTGGAATCCAGGGAAAAGTCTCCTCCCTCTGACATGCCCAAGGTTTGGATTCAGACCTGGGGGAGGATGTGGTGGCTGTGAGGTTCTGACAGGAACTGGAGCTCCTCTCCATCTTCACAGAATCCCAGAATCCCTGAGGCTGGAAAAGCCCTCCAAGGTCATCAAGTCCAAGCTGTGCCCAATCCCCACCACAGCTCTGAGTGCCACATCCAGGAATTCCTGGGGCGCTTCCAGGGGTGGGGGCTCCAAACCTCCCTGGGCAGCTCCTTCTGAGGCCTGACCGCCCTTTCCATGGGGAAATTCCTGCTGGTGTCCACCCTGAGCCTGCCCTGGCCCAGCCTGAGGCTGTTCCCTCTTGTCCTGAACAGAAATCCTTGACAGCCAATATTTATTTGTAATGTTCTTTTCTTGTTTCACCTCATCAAAAGAAGTCAGACCTCATCATAACCATTTCCCACCAAATAAGAGTTATCAAAATAACAACTTTTCAAAAATCAAATCATTTTCCTGCTCACTTCTTCTACCCCTCCTGATTTTCTGGCTCAAAGATATTTCTAAGTTATAATTTCACTGCTGGAACAAAACAAAAACACCAAAAAACCCCAAGCAGTGACTCACTCTTTGCTTGTGTTTATTACTCAAGATTGAGAACATTTGACAATCCCTCAGAAATTCAAGGAATCAGCAAAAGCCATAAATTTATTTATAAACAAACATAACCCCCCCTCCTAAAATGCAGCTCTCACGGAAATGAATTCAACACTGGATTATTTAGGATTAACATAAATCAAACCTCTTTTTAAATGTAGATGAAAATTACAGGCACTAGGGTTGTGCAGGGGGAAGAAATATTTTTAAAAATCCTTTGAATTGCAAATCATAGATAGATTTTTCTTTCCTGGATGTTTCTGTGCGTGAGCAGCATCCATGTAAAAACGGGGATAATGCTGAGACCAAAACAGAGGGGAAACTGCCACTAAGGCCCAGCAGGATCTGTTTGTCACAGTGTGTTCCCATCATTCCTGGGCTGATCCCAAACTCTTGATTGAGTGTATGGATCAGGGTTATCTGGAGATCCAGGATCATTCCTCCTGGATTTTAGTGAGGAAGAACCAGAGCTGGGATGTCTGGAAAGAGAGAAGGAGCCCCAGTTTTGGGTTGGGATTTGCCCTGGAAGGACAAATGGAATGATCCTGTTGGAGCTTAGCCGGAGCCTTTGGATCCAGAGGAGGTTCCTCTTCCCTTCCTCCATCTCCAGGAGCTGAGGACATTTCCCAAGGAGTTTGTCCTCATCCAAAGGTCTGCGTCCCCCTGGGATGACAGTTCCTCCCCTGTGGGATTTTCCTGCGGAAACACAGCCCCAAAGGCCACAGGAAACAGAAACCTTGGAGGGGAGGATTCATTGGTTCGGGATTCAAATCCTGCAGGTTCAAATCCTGCAGGAACGACAGGGCTTGTGCCCATCCCAGTTGAGATCCAACAGGGGAGAGTGGAGCAGAGGGAGCAGAGTGGAGCTGGGGTGTTATTGCATTTGTGGGGTGCCCCGTGGCAGGGAGGAATGATGGATCTGACTCCACGCTCTCAGAAGGCTAATTTATTATTTTATTATCTGTATTACATTAAAGAATACTAAACTAAACTATACTAAAGAATACAGAAAGGATACAGACAGAAGGCTAAAAGATAATAATGAAACTCGTGATTCTTTCCTGAGTCCAACACACCTTGGCCCTGATTGGCCAAAGAGTCAAAACAATTCACAGGAAACCAATCAAACAAGCACCTGTGGGTAAACAGTGCCCAACCACATTCCAAAGCAGCAAAGCACAGGAGAAGCAAATCAGGTAATTATTGTTTTCCTTTTTTTTTCCTGAGGCTTCTCAGCTTCCCAGGAGAAGAATCCTGGGCAAAGGGATTTTTCCAGAAAATATGAATGTGACAGGGTGTAGCAAACGTGGCATGGAATCATTGTCATGGAATCTTTGTCATGGAATCATCCCAGAATGAGCTGGGTTGGAAAGGACCTCAAAGCCCATCTCATTCCATGGGCAGGGACACCTTCCACTATCCCACGTTGCTCCAAGCCCTGTCCAACCCGGAAAACAGGGGAAGAAACTTTCCCAAGTTCACTTCAAGGAGGAGGAAAAGATCCAAAATAGCTGTTCCCTGGTTTTCCCTGGTTTTCTCTGGTTTTCCCTCCTCCTTTGTGTCAGATCTGTGCCCGTTTTCCTCTCATCCTAGAAAACATCTGGCAATACTCCATGGAGTATTTCCATGGAGCCTCTCACTTGCCCAAGACAAGCTGTGCATTGCAGTATCCTGGCTGACTGGCTCACGTGGAATCTCCCTGGAATCTCTTGGATCATCATCCTCTTCCCCAGAGCCACACGTTGGGCTTGGACAGGGAACCTCACCCCTGGCAGGTTCCTCTATCGTTCCTCTTCTATTCCCATCCACAGCAGCAGAGTTCTCCTCGGGATTCCTTGCTCCTTGATCCCGCTCTTTCCCGGGATTTGACAGCTGTTTAATTTCCCTTTTATTTCTTTGGGATGACTTTTGGCAGCGGTTTCACCATTCCTGCTTCTCCTGGATAAGGGCAGACAATTGTTTTTCTGCCTCCTCCATTCCCCTTGGTCTGGGTTCAGATGAGATCATGTCTTGTCCTACCCCTCATCATTCCTCAGCTCTGCTCCTTGTCTTGTTCTGGAGCCAAAAAAGTTCACAAAGATCTCCCAAAATCGAATTTTTTCAGCCAGGGATTGGCTTTGTTTATCTGTTTATGGGCAATCAGCTGAAGGTCAGGGAACATCCACAGTGCTGGGAAGAATTTTCCACTTTATAAACCATGAAAATCCACAGAGAGGGAAGATCTCCAAAGTTTTTATTCCTCTTGGTTGTCTTGACAAACTCGGTGGCCAAAAGGGTTTTTAATTTCACATTCAGATGTTTCAAAAATTGAAGAAACCTCATTTAGGTTGGGTTCTTTTTCTCACATGTCCTCCTTGGTGATTCCATGTCCTTCTTGGTGATTCCATGTCCTCCTTGAGGTTTTTGTGTCCTCCTCAATGTTTCCATGTCCTCCTCGGTGTTTCCAGGTCTTCCTTGGTGTTCCCTTTCCTCCTTGGCCATTTAAAGCTCAGAGACACCAAACAAGCTTTGCTGAGACACAAATCTTTCAGTTGAGCTTCATTTAGTGATTAACTCCAAACTAATTTGCAGTCAAGGCTTTTAATGGCCCTTGATGAATCTCCTAATCCTGGTTTTCCTTCCCTCAGTGCTGACAGGAATCCTCACTGGCTGCTTTTTGCTCTGTAGGAGGTTTGGAGCCGGGATTTTCTTCTGGGAGTCATTTCCCACACTTCAATTCTTTTTTTCTAAACTGTCCCTCCAAAACAACCCCAAAACCTTATTTAAATAACTTAATTCAGCATTTAATGTCCTCTTTTAACTGGGTGCAGATTTGGCTGGAGGAAAGGGTTTATGGTTCAAAGCCAATCTCAGCTGGCAGTTCCCAAACCAGTCCAGGGCTTTGGGATGGGAATGGGATTTCCTTGGATCACCTTGGATCACTCACTGTACTCATCACAGCTGGGGCAGAGTTCAGGTATCCCCAGGTGGGAGATGACTCCCAAATAGTCCCAAATCTTGGTGGATTTATGGGAACAGGGCACAGAGAGCAGGGAAAACATCCATTGTGTTTGTGCCC